TTTTTTTGTTAAAAACTGGACATTTGAATCTAATGATACGGCAATTCTGGAAATCAGATTCTCTCCCTTTCCCAAAGTTTGAGGCTTTTTTGGTTATTGTTTTTATTTTGGCTGTGATAGACTGTCTCTGGTCAAGCATCAGCCTGAAGTATAAACAAGCTCTTCTCAGGACTTTTCTGTACCTTTTCCTGGAATGTGCAGTCATTTTCCAATTTTCCTCATAAATGTAACTGTTTTTTAATGTCTGGCTCCAAAAATGGGAAGACGAGAAAACAGAAGGCAAGGAAAAAAGATGCTGGCCCTTAAAGTCCCCTGGAAGTCACTTAGAGGGGAGAGGGTGCCACAACAGTGGCTGTCTGCCTCTTTATCTGCAGCCCTGTGAGCAGAAGCAGCAATCCGTGATCAGAACACAGATCCATGATATTTAGAAGACAGGGTCCACTGTGCCCACTGTGGGTCACACAAGCTGTCTGCCAGTTGCTCCAAAAACATGTGTGCAGTTGCCTGCCAGGAGGCCGATGGGTAGGGGATAGGAATGGACTGAAATTAACCGCAATTTACCTTCCAAGCCTTCCCCTAGAGCTTGCAAGCCTTCCAAGGAACTGCAGAATTGTAAAACAGTAGTTACATCAGACAGATTCTGCTGGTTCAGTTATTGCCTAGGTGTGGAGAGATTCCTGGTGTTTCCTATTCCACCACCTTCCCAGAATCCACTCTTCTTTAGTTTTTGACCACTTGGTTTTGCCTCTCTGAACAACACAGCATAACTGTGCCTGGTTTTGAACCTATATAAATAAAATCACATGCCATATATTCTATTTCAACTGTTTTCTTTCACCTTATCTTTTTATCATTAATGCTTTCAAATGCAGTTGTAATTCCACCCATATTCATCACTATACAGTATTCCAATGTACAAGTTAACCATAATTTATTTCTCCGTTCTACTAACGAAGGGCATTGGGACTGTTTCAAACTTTCAATGCTCTTGAACACTGTGCCACACGGAAGCATAATCTTCTCCACGCCATACATCCAGAAGCCAAAGTTTTAGGGTATGCGTATTTGAACTAATTTATTCTCCCACTATTGGAATATGAGATATTTTTCCTTGCTTTACACTGATACTAACCACTGTGCTGTCAGATGTTTTTGCCAGGTCATCTAGTATAACTTGGTATCCCAATACCAGCTGACAGGCATACCTTATTATTTAATGCTTCTCTGTACTATGTTTCACAGATACTGTGTTTGTTAGAAGTTGAAGGTCTATGGCAACCCTGCACGCAGCAAGTCTACGGGAACCATTTTTCTCACACTTGCTAACTTCTGGTCTCTGTGTCACATTTTGATAATTCTTGCAATATTTCAAAGTTTTTCATTCATCAGTGCATTTGCTCTGGTGATCGGTGATTAGTGATTTTTTTGATGTTATGATTACAATTGTTGGGGTGCCACAAACAAGGCCCTTAAAAGGTGGTGAACTTAATCAACACATGTTGGGTATGTTCTGACTGCTCCATTGACCAGCCATTCCCCCATCTCTCTCCCTCTCCTCTCAGGCCTCCCTATTCCCTGAGGCACAACAATATTTCAATCAGGCCAATTAATAACCCTACAAGGGCCTCTAAGTGTTCACGTGAAAGGAAGAGTCACACAGTCTCTCACTTTAAATCACTCAAAAACTAGAAATGATGAAGCTTAGTAAGGAAGGCATGTTGAAAGCCCAAATGGGCAAAAAGCTAGGCCTCTTTGCATCAGTTAGCCAAGATGTGAGTGAAAAGGGAAAATTCATGAAGGAAATTATTGCTGACATGGAGAAAGTTTTAGTGCTCTGGCTAGAAAATCAAACCAGCCACAACTTCCCTGACACCAAAGCCTTATCCGGAGCAAGGCCTTAACTCTCTTCAACTCTAGGAAGGCGAGAGGGGTGAGGAAGCTGCAGAGAGAAGTCTGAAGCCAGCCGAGGTTGGCTTAAGGGAGGAAGCCGTCTCTAGGACGTACAAGTGCAAGGTGGAGCAGCAAGAGCTGATGCAGCAGCTGTAACGAGTTACCAGAAGATCTAGGCAGGTTAAAAGGCGGCTACCCTGAACAACAGATCTTCAATGCGGACCAGACAGCCTTCCTGTGGAAGAAGACGCCACCTAGGACTTTTTAGCTAGAACCAACTCAATGCCTGGCTTCAAAGTCTCAAAGGACAGGCTAACTCTCGTTAGGGGCCAATGCAGCTGGTGACTTTAAGTTGAAACCAATGTTTATTTGCCAGTCCCAAATTGCTAGGGCCCTTAAGAATGATGCTAAATCTACCCTTCCTGTGCTGGAACAGTAGAATAACAAAGCGTGGATGACAGCACATCTGCTTACAACATGGCTTACTAAATATTTGAAGCCCACTGTTGAGACCTACTGCTTAGAAAACAAGATGCCATTCAAAACAGTACTGTTTACCGACAACGTACCTGGTCACCCAAGAGCTGCAATGGAGTCGTACAGCGAGATTAATACTGTTTTCGTGCCTGCTAACACAACACCCATTCTGCAGTCCGTGGATCAAGGAGTTAATTCTGACTTTAAGTCTTATTATTTAACAAACACATTGTATAAGGCTAGGGATTCCTCTACTGGGATCTGGGCAAAGTAAACTGAAAATCTTCTGGAAAGAATTCACCATTCTAGATGCCATTAAGAACATCTGTGATTCATGGGAAGATGTGAAAATATCAACATGAACAGGAATTTGGAAGAAGTTGATTCCAACACTCATGGATGACTTTGAGGGGTTCAAGACTTCAGTGGAAGATGTACCTACAGATGTGATGGAAACAGCCTGAGAACTAGACTTAAAAGTGGAGTCTGAAGATGTGATGAATTACTGCAATCTCACGATAAAACCTGAACAGTGAGGGACTGCTTCTTACGGATGAGCAAAGAAAACGGTTTCTTGAGATGGAATCTATTCCTGGTAAAGGTGCCGTGAAGACTGTTGAAATGACAACAAAGGATTTAGAATATCACGTTAACTTAGTTGATGAGGCAGCAGCAAGGTTTGAGAGGACTGACTCCAACTCTGAAAGAAGTTCTTCTGTGGGTAAAGCAGCATCGCATACTACAGAGAAATCGTTTATGAAAAGAGTCAATTGTAGCAGATGTTACTGTTGTCTTATTTTTAAGACCCTGCTATAGCCACCCCAGCCTTCTGCAGCCACCCCCTTGATCAGTCAGCAACCATCGACATGGAGGCCAGACGCTCCACCAGCAAAAACTTTATGACTCACTGAAAGCTCAAAGGATGGTTAGCATGTTTTAGCAATAAAGTATTTCTAATTAAGGTATGCACATTGTTTTTTCAGAAATACTGTATTGCCCACTTAATAGACTATAATAGAGTGTAAACATAACTTTTATACACTCTGGGAAACCAACAAATTCACTTGACTTGCCATTTTGCAATATTTGCTTTACTGTGGTGGTCTGGAAGTAAACCCACAGTATCTCCAAGTATGCCTGTGCTAGGCATTTACCTGATTACTAGTGAGCCTGAAACCTTTTATTACGTTTATGTTTTGATGTCTTCATTTGGGAATCTTCTGCCCATTTTTTATCTGATTTTTTTCTTAATGAGTTCTTTCTGTATTCTAAATCTAAGCCCTCTGTCAGTTATTCATGCTGCGAATATCTTTTCTACTCTGTGGTTTGCCTTTTTGTTTATTAATGACGATAAACCATTTGTTCTTCTTTCAATAAAGAGAAGCTGGGAATTTTAAAGGAGTCAAATTTATCAATCTTTTATGTTATGTGGCTTGGTTAAAATATTTCCTTAGGTTGGGACATGAAGGAAGATGTGCACTTAAATTATCTTTTTTTATTTTTTTTTAAATGTTTTTATTTATTTTTGAGACAGAGAAAGACAGAGCATGAGCAGGGCAGGGGCAGAGAGAGGGGGAGACACAGAATCCGAAGTGGGCTCCAGGCTCTGAGCTGTCAACACAGAGCCCGATGCGGGGCTTGAACTCACGGACGGACTGTGAGATCATGACCTGAGCTGAAGTCGGACGCTCAACCGACAGCCCCCCAGGTGCCCCTTAAATTATCTTCTTTTTTAAATTTTTTTTTCAACGTTTATTTATTTTTGGGACAGAGAGAGACAGAGCATGAATGGGGGAGGGGCAGAGAGAGAGGGAGACACAGAATCGGAAACAGGCTCCAGGCTCTGAGCCATCAGCCCAGAGCCCGACGCGGGGCTCGAACTGACGGACCGCGAGATCGTGACCTGGCTGAAGTCGGACGCTTAACCGACTGCGCCACCCAGGCACCCCTTAAATTATCTTCTAAGTGTGAAGAAATGATTTATGGTCTGGGTGATTATCTTTCTCCTGCCAAACACCTGACTGTCCCAGCAGTGTGGGACACCCCGATGAGCGGCTTGCTTGACGATCCCGCGGTACAGCCACTCTGGAGGGGTATTTTACCAGGATGGCAGGTCCTAGACTCCAACTCTTATCTCTTCAGCCCTGAATTTGCCAAAAGTGCACTTTCACCTCTCAGATTCCTCTTCTTTTTTTTTTTTTTTTCTATGCTATTTGTCTCTGTCTATAATCAGATTCCTCTTCTTAACTGGCAAACACCCCAATCACCCCAGGACAGAAGCAGCGCTGTATCACTTCTCTATAGCACATCAGTTCACAAACAGTGAGGTCTCTTGACTACCTCTCCCTCAAAGGAAAGCACAGGATGCTGGGAGAACCCATCAAAGATGACTCTCTGCGGGTAAGGAGTGATAACTGGAAGGTAATGAATAATGGACAAAAAATGTCTAAGATCAAAACTGCAGGATGAGTGGTGGAGGGTATCTTGAGAGTAAGCAGGGGTCGACAACATAGGCTGCTTGACTAGGGACAGTCCAGGAAACAGAAGAGAAAACTGGCTCTGAAAACATCCAAGATAAGTAAGGTGGTTCTACTGACCATTAAATCAAAATTAAAAGAAAAACTAATCATTACCTGCAATCTGTACTGAGCCATCTTCTCCAAGAAGAATATTTCCAGCTTTCACATCTCTTTAAGGAAAAAAAAAAATTAAAAAGTTACATATTAAAAAACACCTATTCTTTGGAGTCACATAATTTAAGCAATTGTTTACTGTATTCACACAACACTGGCAGTAAATTCTCTATTTTACATTAAAGGGTGTTAAGGCCAATAGTAAACGATTTTTAAAATTTTAGTCACTTGTACCAGAATCTAAATATTATAAAGAAAGCTACAATAACAAATAACTTTTTAGTATAAAATCTAGAAGACCCAACACGATTAAATACTTGTTTGGAATAATGGTGGCCAAAGAATGCAACCCTCACCTACTGTCACCTAATTCTACTTTTTGAAATATATTGATTAAAAGAAAATTTTTTTCAGTTCATTCATTTTGAGAGAGAGCAAACATGAGCAGGGTAGGGGCAGACAGAGAGGGGGGAGAGAGAATTCCAAGTCAGTGGAAGTCACTGCTTCCGCAGTGCAGAGCCCGATGCAGGGCTCAAACTCACAAAACCTGAGATAATGACCTGAGCCGAAACCAAGAGTTGGACACTTAACCACTGAGCCACCCAGGCACCCTAAAATATAATGATTTTTTTTCCACAACATAATACATGGTCAAAATTTTTATTTTTTTATGTTTTATTTTTTGAGAGAGCGAGTGCACAAGCAGGGTAGAGGGACAGACAGAGAATCTCAAACAGGCTCCATGCTCAGCACAAGAGCTCGGTAAGGGGCTCGATCCCTAGGATCATGACCTGAGCTGAAATCAAGAGTCAAACATTTAACCGACTGAGCCATCTGAGGCACCTCTCAAAAATTGTAAATGGTATGTGGTTAAAAACAGGGACTATCCTACGCCCGAGACATAAAGATAGATATTAATCATTCAAACATCTTTATATTTTTAATCGGTAACTATTTGTAACTCAAATAGTACACATGCACACATTCTTATTATAAAAACCTAAATATCACCGAAGAGCCCAAAGTCCCTCTACCCACCATTCTCAAGTCTAGAACTTCCTTCACAGTTTTCAACTATTACCAGTCTAGTCAATACAATATGTCCCTGTGACCTACCTCGGCTTTTCTTCCAACATAAATGATACTACACTATCCATTCAAAGCTACAACTTGTTTTTCTCATACAACAATGTGTTAGCAATATCTGGCAAAATTTAAAATCCTCAAATCCTCAGTAGTAGCAAATCCACTTCTTGATAACCCAGAGAAACCCCCACCCGTGTACAAACAAGGACATCACTGCAGCATTGTTTGTAATAATAAACCAAAAATGATAACAACCTAGAAGGCCAACAATAGCAGAAAAGTTGAACTAATTTTGTTACAGCCATAAAATGGAATAAGGTCAATCAACATGGTTTGACTTGAAATACCCTCTAACACATACTACTAAATGAACAAATCAAATGAGAGGACAGCGCATTTTGTAGGGCATCATTAATGTTATACACACACACACACACACACACACACACACACACACACACACACACTTTACATCTATTCCAAATGGAGAGTAATGAATGTTTCCTTCTGTGGAGAGGAATGGGTTTGGAATCAAGGCAAACAGTGTTGAATATCTTGTGGAAATGTGATCATGTATTTATTTTGTAATTAAAAATAAATATACAGAGAGCCAGTCTTTTAGGCTAGGCAAGAAAGAGCAAGGCTAGATCACGGAGGAAGGCTTTGTCATGAAGAGGAACCAGCGAAAAGCACAACACTTCATCCTTTTCCTATTCCTGTCTTATCTCTTATCTTTAGATCATAACCATTCCTCAAAAAAAAAAAAAAAAAAAAAAAAAAAAAAAAAAAAAAAATCAAGGGGCGCCTGGGTGGCTGAGTTGGTTAAGCATCCGACTTCGGTTCAGTTCAGGATCTCATGGTTCGTGGGTTCGGGCCCCGTGTCGGGCTCTGTGTGACAGCTCAGAGACTGGAGCCTGCTTCGGATTCTGTGTCCCCCTTTCTCTCTACTCCTCCTCCACTCGTGCTCTGTCCCTCTCTCTCTCAAAAATAAACATTAAAAAAATTTGTTTTTAATCAACAATAATTTCACAACTGTGTGTATCAGCTTCACCATACCACAACATGCAACACTTTTCCTGAATGCGTACTGACGCATGAGGCAATCACGCTGCTGAGTACTCTGCACTGTTCATACATCCACGCAATTCACACGGCATTCTCCCAGAGCTGACTTAGACTCCAGCTAAGTCTACTCTACAAGCAATTTACACAGCCTTCTCCCAGAGCTGACCCAGAGTAGAGCCCAGCTAAGTCTACTCTACAAACATGAAGTCTCTGACTCCAGATACTATGAATAGGAGAAAACTGAAGACCTTCCCTTCCCTTGGTGACAAAAACCATCCAAGTCAACCACCAATTTTTAACTCCCTTTTCTGAGTTTATCTGGAATGACATCTAAAACTCAAAAAATGTATACTTTAGTCACTTCCTCCTCTGTATTTTTGCAGCAGGCTGTAACACAGCATTAGCCCAGACTACAGAAATGTGATCATAATCTTCGGGCTGCCTCTTTCAGCACGAGCTAAGATCTGGACCTGTACCTTAATAGATTTCTATATCACCTGCACTTACTTACTTACCAGCATTATGATTAGTAAACAGGAGACATCTCCCAGATATTCACGGAATATATTTAAATAACTAAGGAGACAATTTCCTTAAATACTCTTCTGGAGATAAGTGGAAGTATTAAATGAATGAATGAATGAATAAATGAGTAAATAAATAAATCCAACTAAATACCAAAATAAAACTTGACTGTTTCCTTTCCACCGTCTCAAACCCCAATTTCCACCTCCTAACTCTGTTCCAAATGTTAGGGTTATAAAGTAATACGCTGCAGTCAAACAAGACAACCTACCTATCCAACAACGGGAGACCAAATTGTGGTATATCTATACAATGAAATACTAAGAATAGCAATGAACATATGAATATGGAAGCATCACCAAATATATCCTTAAGTGAAAATAATACTATGTATGTATGTTTCCATTGTCTTCTTTTTTAAGGAAAAAAAAAGAGGGATATACATATGTTTATATTGGCATAAAATCTCTCTCAAAGGAGTCACATGAAAATGGCAAGAAATGGTTTCATTTAGACCAGGATACCAGAGGTTCAGGGAAGGAGGAAGACTTTTTAAAAAATACTTTATTTAAAAAAAAAAAAAAAACTTTATTTTTTAGAACCATTTTAGATTTACAAAGAAATTGAGAAGACAGTGCGGAGGCATTCCCACATGCCTTACACTTAGTTTCCCCCATTGCTAACGTCTTACATTAGTACGGTACTTTTAGCACATTTAATGAGACCGGTACTGATGCATGATTATTAAAGTCCACAACTTACTCAGATTTTTTAAAGTTTTTACCTAATGTCCCTTTTCGGTCCCAGGATCCCATTCAGGATTCCACATTAAATTAGTCATGTCTCCTTACGTTCTGCTTGTCTATGACAGTTTCTTTGACTTTCCTTGTTTTTGATGACCTTGACAGCTTTGAGGAATAATGGCCAAGTATTTTGTAGGATGCCCCTCTAATGGAATTTGCCTCATGATCAGACTGGCGTTACGAATTTTTGGAAGGAAAACCACAGAAGTGAAGTGCCATTTTTATCACATGATATCAAGGTACATAGTATCAATATGATTCAGTACAGGACTTTTTTTTTTTTTTAATCATATACCATTTTGTGCTTTTTTGAATATTTAAGACACATACATGTGTTACCTAGTCAAATAATGTTTTATACAAGTTTTTGTTTTTTGGGAAGTGAAGAGACAATAATCTATTTTCAGTAGAGCCTGTTAGGGTGACTACTTTTCCCGATCAGCTCCTCAGATAATCAATTCCATGCTTCCCATTTGAAACCAAAGTGCAGTGTGCAGAACAGCTTCCAGGAGTAAAAGCAGGAGAAAATCATGAGGCTAAATGGTTCACTGGACAATCAAACATACCAGTCTGTCCTCATGGGCAACAGGACAACTGACCTTCCAAGAAAAAGATTTGTAACTAAATACCTGCAAATCCATAAAGGCCTTAAGAAAACAACCTTTCTTACTCTGCCACAAAATCCAAGCAACCCAGCAGTCCAACAGTTAAATCCACCATCCATTCTTAAATAAAAAACAACAGTGAGTTTTGTTTTTCATAGCTTAAGGCCATTTCTCACATGCCACTACTGCACCAAAGTGACAAACTCCTTGTAAAATTAGAAGGAATATCATATTTTTCATAAGGAGCCCCTTTTATTTTTTTTATAAAAATAAAAATTTTTTTTTTCAACGTTTATTTATTTTTGGGACAGAGAGAGACAGAGCATGAACGGGGGAGGGGCAGAGAGAGAGGGAGACACAGAATCGGAAACAGGCTCCAGGCTCCGAGCCATCAGCCCAGAGCCCGACACGGGGCTCGAACTGACGGACCGCGAGATCGTGACCTGGCTGAAGTCGGACGCTTAACCGACTGCGCCACCCAGGCGCCCCAGGAGCCCCTTTTAAAAAAAATGTTAAAAAAAATAAAGGGAATATCATAGAGAGAAATAAGAAAGAACAGTGAGTATTTTCACAGGTTAATGCCATTTCTCACATGTCACTACTGCACCAAAGTGACAAATTCCTTGTAAAATTAAAAGGAATATCATAGACATGCTTGACTCTTTCATTAGCAGACAGCAAAAGTTACTGCCCGAAACATGTTTATGACTCATCAATAGGCATAGTTTGTGGAAAACTCAAAAAAGGTAAAGAGAAGCAAAGAATCAAAACGAAAGCTGGAAAATACACTACATTTTAAGCATCTCTTTTTTTTTAAATGTTTATTTTTCAGAGAGAGAGAGAGAGAGAGAGAGAGAGAGAGAGAGACAGAGTGTGAGCGGGGGAGGGGCAAAGAGAGAGAGGGAGACACAGAATCCGAAGCAGGCTCCAGGCTCCAAGCTGTCAGCAGGGAGCCCGACGCGGGGCTTGAAC